TCAAGAACACCCTGAAAATCATTAATATGATCAGAAATAGGAGTGTCCTCTTTATACCTGATATTCATCAATTGTTTCAATAGAAACAACTTATTGTTGCCAGTCTTCGAAGCATATAGCGTCTCGAGCTTGTCCCACAAACTTCTGGCATGTGTCTCATTCACATTGTGATTTCGAACATTATCTTCAACTCATTGTCTATTATAGCCACAAACCTGCAAGAGCTCAAATTCCCATTCCTCATCCGTCATGGATTGGGGTTTATTAGAGGTAAACACAGGTAAATGCATTTTCTTGATAAATAGAAGATCTTTCATCTTACCTATCCATATATGATAGTTACTACCATTCAAACAAACCATCTTGCTCATATTTGCCTCCATAATTCAAATCAATAATGAACAACAACCAATGCTTTGATACCACTTTGTTGGGAAAGGCAAGGCACTAACAAGAATGTCAGACAGGATAGCAGCGGAATAATACCCAAATCTAAACTTTCCCTTTTAATTTGAACCAAGAGAAGACAAACCAAATCAAGCAATATGAAGAATGGACAACAAGTATATCAACCAAACTAAAGTAACAAGATAAGAATAAGTCAATCACACAAGACACAACGATTTACGTGGAAAACCCTTCAATGTGAAGAGTAAAAAACCACAGGACCAAAAGCTCCATTATAAACACCAAGAGTTACAAAATTGTTCTCCAAAATTGGCCACAAAACAAGGGCCAAACAACAAGCAACAACAAATCAAGATTGCACCAAAACTAGAAAATTAAAGAAGAGATTTCACCCCAAAATGCGCTACTGTTCACGCCCTCAAATCAGAAGCTACAGACCTCCAAATTCGTTCTCCACCATTGAATTGCAAGAACCAGATGCGGAGAACTCCCAGTTCAAATTTAAGCACGATCCAACGGTTAACGAAGCGACAAACTCTGTCTGAAGCGGACTGCCTGAGCAGAAAATTTCTAGAAGCAAATAGGGATTTTTCTCTTTTTCTCTCAATCTCTAAAACGAATCTCTCTTGATTTTTCTGTCTTGTGTTTCTGAAAATAAGACCAAATAAGCCTTATATATGCCACATAATATTTGGGTTATGGGCTAAAGTGGGCTGGTCCTAATAAGACTTTTATTTATCCATATAGGAAGGGAAAAAAAAGATCCTAAACCCAACATGAAACTCCTAAAAGCGTCCCAAGGGGTAATTTTAAGTAAATTATTTTTTTTCTAGAAATTTTATTATTCTATTGGCTTCGGAACATGTTTTATAATGAAGTTGCACTATTGGATCATGTATACATGTTTTCAAATAAGTTTTGAGGACCAAACCCATTTTTTTACTATTGATGTTTTTTTGGACTCGCTGTTTCGCTGGTAGCTCTCTTTGTCACAAAACTTCTTTCCCATTTTCATTATTTTACCATTTTCAACACCTTGAGAGATTGGGAGAGATATTTTGAGAGAGATTTCTTAGGGGAATTTGTGTGGTTAAGTTCCTAAAGCGACACTTTATGGAAACACTTATCTTGCTATAGAGGTCTTCACACTCTACTATAAGCTTCCTCTCGCTATAGCATGGTAATCGACAGTTCAATGACCCAAACTCTGGAAAAGGCCCTTTTTACAAGACACATTCTTCCATTGACGTCTTCACTCATACCTTTGATGTACCTTGAAATTACGGTACTTTTGATGCATTAAACTTAAAGCTATGCATGAGTCTTAGGCATTTTGTTATTATATGTGATGGTATTTTGGTTTGATTTTACAGAAAATAGGTTTTGGAGCAATTGGTGTTAAAAGTGTTGCAGCAGAAGGATTTTGGCGACAAGTGACTGGACTTACGAGCCGTTATTTCTTCGACGAGCCATAGGTTGAAGTGCTGAGAATTGGAGTTAAGTATGGAATAATGATAGCATATCAACGAGCCGTAGTTACTACTATGAGCCATACATGTGGAGTCATAGAAAACTTCAGAAAGGATGACTTCCAGTACATGAACGACGGATGAACAAGTCGGGCCGTGCATAGACTTACGAGCCATAAGTCATGCCCATAGGTGGAACTCACTAGAGATTTGATTAACTGCTGATTGACGGAAGACACTTACGAGCCGATATCTCTACGACGAGCCGTAGGTTGCCAACCATAGATGACACTGCCCAAGTCAAATTTCCTTAAGTCTTCCTTTTCCTACTTGTTTTAGGATTTGTTTTTAATAAATATTTGTTATAATTTTCATTTTTGGGTTGTTAGACGTTTTGAGATACTTTGTTTTGGCTTTGAGAATTATTTTGCAAACATTTTAGGAATTTAATTCTTGAAGTTTGGTTTATGAAATTTGCATTTGTTCTTCAATTCAAGATTCCAGATTTCATCTATTCTAATTGTAAGTTCATGATTTCTATTATTAACTCTAATATGAATTGTGAATTCTCAAGCATGATAACTAAATCCACAACCAGGATTGTGGGAACCATGAGTAATTAACAACATAAAGCTAATAA